GAAAAAACAAATTATTCATGAGTCCAAATAGATTTTGAAGGTGTAGGTAGAAAGAAGACACATTGTGACCAAAAGTCAAAATAATGTAGTGGTTCAACAAACTAAAGATACACCGTGTAAGAGTTCAGAAAGTGCATTTCCCATAATCAAGGTCAGCTAATGAATCAGAAAACCAGGCAGGTTAGTGGACAAGACAGGCACCCATTACAAGAAACAAGCAACAGGAGGGTGAGAGTTGACCTTGCTAGAGGCAAGCGTCTAGACCAGTCAAGGGTTCCTTAGTTCTTCCTATCAGGGCATGGACAGCTCAAAGCTTGCAGATAAGGGGAGGGAGGTAACTGTTTCTGAATGGATTGTAAGGAGAGCAATGGGGCAGCAATTGACGGCAGATTCTGACACAGCACCATTAGTGTATTCCTAACCCACATTCAATTTGTCAAAAAATGCTTTTAAAAATTAAGTCTTTATTGAGAAGACATACACCTAACTCTGATTTGAACAGGCAACATAGCTGCATGCAAAATAAGAGGTTAGATAGTATCTGTTTTATACTGTCACTCTGTATCCAGAAGCAAAGATATGATTTTGCATTCATATTCTATGTTCTAGATAAACTGTCAGGTCTCTCTGCCAGATTTTTATGGATAATTAGAAGGTTGCATAAAGCAGATGTTATGAAACTATCTGTAACTAGTCCTTAATGGTGGATGACAAGAACTAGTACCATTTCTTAATTACATGAGACATTGTAAGAGGTGTAAAACAGAGGGAGAACTGTCAAAGCCTGACAGGATATCAAACAGTTAATCACCCACGTTCAACCAGAACATTTCTTTACTATGTAATTCAGAATGTGGATCCCACCTCTCTACAGCTAAAAAAAATTTTAGGTCGAAGTTGTGCGTGCTCCTGTGTTGCTTCATTTCAGGTTTTAATAATTGATATAAGAACTCCTGCATAAAACAGGTGGATTTTCTTTTGAAAACTAATCAAATAAGAAAATTTGCTTCTTATGAAATACAGAGACAATATTGCTATATCAGATTCTATTCAGTAGCATGAAAG